GCCCTCCCCTTGATTCCATAAAGTCACTCCCAGCGACCCCCACCCTATAAAAGCATTATTCAGCCACTACAGGGGAGAAAAACCCAATAAAATTCAAAACGGGAATGATTGTACGTTTATTCAAAATCCAGTTAAGAACTATTTAGTTTAATTAGCTCGACAAAACTGATCAACTTGATCCAGTGATGCCAGTGAAGTCTGATAGGTCATGGATAGTCCTGCCAGCGCCATGGAGCCCCCTCCTTGCCTCTTAGTGCTCCCACCCCACCGGGTAATCCCACAACTCTAAGATCCGGTAACAACAGGACTTTAAAGGGGGCCATCCTGAATCAAGGCCCCTTGCCACAATGCAACACGAACCCCCTTCACAAGAGGTCTGGCCTGTCGCCTGCGGAGTGAGCGGCCTTGTTTTCAAAATCCTTGCATGTGTTTACTGGCTCACAGGATGTCTTGTTCCCAAGAGCTGTTTCTGTGTGCAGATGGCCAGTGTTGAGAACTTATCAATGGCAATGATATTATTATTATTATTATTATTATTATTATTATTATTATTATTATTACCCCGTCCATCTGTCTGGGCTTCCCCAGCCACTCTAGGCAGTTTCCAACAAAGTGTTAAAATACAATGGTCTGTTCAACATTAAAAGCAGGGCTGCCTTCAGATGTCTTCTAAGTCTGGTAGTTGTTCTTCTCTTTGACATCTGGTGGGGAGGTCGTTCCACAGGGCAGGTGCCACCACCGAGAAGGCCCTCTGCCTGGTTGCCTGTAACTTGGGCTTCTCGGCAGTGAGGGAACCGCCAGAAGGCCCTCGGAGCTGGACCTCAGTGTCCAGGTAGAACGATGGGAGGTAGAGACGCTCCTTCAGGTCTACTGGGCTGAGGGCCGGTTTTAGGGCTTCAAAGGTCAGCACCAACACTGTGAATTGTGCTTGGAAAACGTCCTGGGAGCCAATGTAGGTCTTTCACCTATACTTTTCCGTCTTCATTTTCCTGCTGATGGCAACTCCTCGTGGCACCTGCAACTCAGGAAGACCCTTCCTCCCTCTCGCTCCCCCCCCAATCTCCCCAGCAAGGGCTTCCTTCACTCACCTCCCAGTGGATCCACTTGTATTGAGACAGGTTGACCTGCTCAAAGTCAGCAGCCGTCACGTCCGGCAGGTTGCTGGTTGGGGGTGGCGGGGAGAAGGCGGAAGGGTGGGATGGGGGGGGTACAAAGGTCTATGAGATGAAATGCCTTCACAGCCTCCTCTCCCACCCGAGATTATTCATTTGAACAACTTGAAGACCCCCATCTGGTCATTGATTACAAAGCACAAAGCAGAGTGTTGCTGTCTTGGCCGACCACTGTAGCACAAGCCAGGCCCAACTGGTGGGGTCCATGCAGCCAGACACCCTCTCCCTATGGGCCACCCCAGGTGCCCTGCAAAGTATGTGAGGAGGGGGCATCAAGGCAATAATCAGCCCCTCTTCTTCCCCCCCAGGGTCCTTCAAGAAGCCCACTGCCTCAAAAGCAAGGAGGGTCCATCTGTGTCTCGGATGCAAGGCTGATCTTGCAAAGCGGTATGTCCACTTTGATCCCCTTCTATGTACAGTAGTGAATTGGTTCCTAAACCCTGAAAACCCGGAAGTAAGTGTTTCAGCTTTCAAATGTTTTTTGGAAGCCAAACGTCTGATACGGCTGTCAGCTATTGTTTCCGGGGCGCCTGCACCAATCAGAAGCTGCGCCTTGGTTTTTGAACATTTCGGAAGTCAAACAGACTTCGGATTAAGTTTGGCGCTTTTGTTTTTGCTATTTATTTTGCGTTTTTGTTTTTGAGGTTTTTCTGGTTAATTTGTTTTTGTGACTGCGTGGAATCCAGTTCAGCTACTGACTGATTGATTGTGTGACTGCAGAAATGGATAAAAGCACGCAATGACTATCATCAGTGCAGGTGAGAAAAAATAATGATTTTAATTTTTATCATCTACAATACTGTCTTATTTATTTTATAGTACAGTACATTGATTATTGCTTTCATTTTATGGATCAATGATCTTGTTAGATAGCAAAATTCATGTTAAATTGCTGTCTGGAACGGATTAATCCATTTTGCATTTCCTTCTATGGGAAAGCACAATTTGGTTTTGGAATGCATTGGTTTTGGAACGGACTTCCAGAATGGATTAAGTTTGAGAACCAAGGGACCACTGTATGCTGGGACCCATCCATGGTGCTGGCTTTGATCTGCACAGCCCCAAAGAGCTGGACTCAACATTATTCAGGGGCTGCCTCTGAGCCAGGGGCGTAGGAAGCGGGGTGTGGGGTGTGTGGTCCACCCCGGGTGTCATCCCAGAGGGGGTGCCAAAATTTACCGCAGGGCCTGGCCTGCAGCACGTCCGAGCCACAAGTCTCTCCTGGGAGTGACATGGTGGCTTGGGGTCCTGTGCTGCCCGAAACAGCAGTGTGGGGCTTACTGCAGCGCCCCCCTGGGTGGATCGCCCCATCCCCACCGCTCTGGGTGCTGCAGCAACTAGCTACACCCCTGTTCTGAGCCTGAGGTTCCTGTATTGCAGTAGGTGAGCCAGATGGCCCTTCAAACACAACAGTTCTGCGATTGTGGCCTAAACCTTCACATTTGGACAACCAGAAGAAGCATTAGCATAAGAACATAATAAAAGCCTGCAGGATCAGGCCAGGGGCTCATCTTGTCCGGGATCCTGTTCTGACAGTGGCTGACTAGACCCCTGCGGGAAACCGGCAAGCAGGATTCGAACTCAGGATCAACACTCTCCCTGCCTACAGTTCCCAGCATCTGGTCTTCAGAAGCATCCCTGCCTCCTCCATGAATTTGAGGTGACCAAGGAGGGCTATGAGGACACCACAGAGGTTGACAAAAGAGCTGGGAGGGAGAGAGACGTTCTTCTTCCTCTCTTGTAGAGGCAGCGATGGCCACCAACTTCAAAAGGGGAGCCAGACCAAGAACGTGAAGGTCAAGAGCTACAAGTGACTGCAGATTCAAAGAACTGTCCAGTTGGAAGGGATCTCCAGGGATCATCTAGTCCAGTCCCCTGCAATGCAGGAATCACAGCTCAAGGATCCCCCGACAGATGGCTGCCCAAGCACCTTGGGAGGGGAGTCTGTTCTGCTGTCATACATCAGAAAATTCTTCCTGCCACAAGATCCCAGCAGGAAAGGACTGTGTGTCCCCCCCCCAAGCAGGCTTCCTGTTGGGGGATCCGGGAGGTCCCTGGAGGAGGACTTTCCCTGGGCCTGATCCGGCTGCAGCAGCCAGACGCTTCCCACATTCGAAACTCTTTGCTCCATGAGTCCCTTGGATTGAAAACTGGGGGGGGCACCTACTGCAAAGGGTTAACACTTGGCTCCAAGCCCCCTGACCTCTAGCCTCAAAGAGGAACCTTCTCAATGATTAACTGGCAGAGCAGGAGCGCGGATCCTGCCCCCTGAGCAAAGGCCAGCCAGAACCCCATCCAGGGCTCAGCTGCCATTTCTCCCCTGGCTGAGAGGGGGCAAGGATCAAGTCCAGCGGATGTCTCCATCTGGTGAGGGGGTCCTAGGGGGAAGAAGGAGGGACCCCTCCCCAGCCCTCTTCTCTCCCCAACACAGCCCTGCCCCCTCCCAACACCAGACCCCGCTTTCCAAAAAGCAAGGGGAGGGAACACCCCCCCCGCCTTCCCCTATCCCCACCTGCCCCTAAGAGCCCCCATTTGCTCCCCCCTCCAGACCAGGCGATGACCAGGAAGGCAGATCAGGGACGGATTGAGGGAGATGATTGGCTGCTGCACCTGGGCTGAATTATCAGGTGAATCTGCCGAGAATTATTGGGCATGCATGGCTGTGCTTTCCCCTCTTCTCCCACTGGGTGGCGCCACTCAGGGAATGCGGGGGGGGGGGCATTCCAACTCCAATTCAGGCCGTAAAGGTAAAGGGACGCCTGACCATTAGGTCCAGTCGTGGCCGACTCTGGAGTTGCGCACTCATCTCTCTTTACTGGCCGAGGGAGCCGGCGTACAGTTTCCGGGTCATGTGGCCAGCAGGACTAAGCCGCTTCTGGCGAACCAGAGCAGCGCACGGAAACGCCGTTTCCCTTCCCGCCAGAGTGGTACCTATTGATCTACTTGCACTGGTGTGCTTTCGAACTGCTAGGTTGGCAGGAGCAGGGACCGAGCAACGGGAGCTCACCCCGTCATTGCGGGGATTCGAACCGCCGACCTTCTGATCGGCAAGTCCTAGGTTCTGTGGTTTAACCCACAGCGCCACCCGCGTCCCTATATTTCAGGCCACAGCTGTCAACTTTTCCCTTTTCTTGCGAGGAATCCTATTTGGAATAAGGGAATTTCCCTTAAAAGAAGGGAAACGTTGACAGCTATGGTTCAGGCTTCTCAAGCAAACCGCTCCCCCCTGAACCGGGCCGTAAGCCAGAGGGTGCAGAGAAGCCTCAGGCCGCTTGGCCACAGGTGTGGCTCAAGGGATTGGAATTAAATGAAGTTCCATTTATGATCACTTTGATGTGTATTTTTTGGGGGGTGTAAAGGGGGACAGGGGAGGGTTTTAGGCAATTTTATTTACTTTTCCTATGTCCAGTTTTCCTGTTGTTCTTCTGTCTCTCACAGCTACAATAAACCTACCATTAAAATTATGGACTGGTCATTTCTTCGTCAGAGGGCAAACGGGAAAATTTAGCAGCGGATCAAATAGTTTTTTCCCTCACTGTAATTGGTTCATTTTTTTAAAGTAGTTTTAAAATAAATAAAGTCGGTGAGAGGGAAGCTGGAGGTCTTGGCAGCTCAGCCGCCGACTTCCTCAGAGGCCTCTCAGCCTCAGTGCTTCCAGTCTGTAAAATGGGAAGAGAGGATTTGAGCAAGGGGGCTGGGGGGGGGGGTAGCTGGGCAGCTTGCCTTGGGGAACTGTGGGGCAAGCAGAAATCCAGCCACTGCGGCTTTGCACCCCAGCAGATCGGCTTGCAAAACTGAGCTCCTTTTGCTTGTGGTGTAGCTGTTAAAAGCTCAAGAAAAGGCCTGCTAGGGTGAAAAGTGGAAGGAAGTAACCTTTCTACTATTAATGATCAAATGCACTTTGCACATTAATAGTCCGAGATTAATGATTAATATTAGGAATAAGAAGAAGGGGGAGGGGGCAGAAAGAGAGCAGGTGACCTTGAGGTTCCCCTTTGATCTCACGCACCTTGCCTAGATCTCTTGACAATTTATTACTCATTTACCATATTTTTCCGTCTATAAGATGCCCCCCATGTATAAGACGCCCCTTATTTTTGGGGACTCAGATTTAAGAAAATGGGGGAGAGATGCATCCGTGTATAAGACGCCATCTAATTTTTGACATTATTTTTTAGGGGAAAAACCTAGTCTTATACATGGAAAACTACAGTCCAGTCATACCTCGGGTTACAGATGCTTCAGGCTGCATTTTTTTGGGTTAGGTAAAAGGTAAAGGGACCCCTGACCGTTAGGTCCAGTCGTGGCCGACTCTGGGGTTGCAGCGCTCATCTCGCTTTATTGGCCGAGGGAGCCGGCGTACAGCTTCCGGGTCATGTGGCCAGCAGGACTAAGCCGCTTATGGCGAACCAGAGCAGCGCATGGAAATGCTGTTTACCTTCCCGCCAGAGCGGTACCTATTTATCTACTTGCACAGGTGTGCTTTCGAACTGCTAGGTTGGCAGGAGGAGGGACCGAGCAACGGGAGCTCACCCCGTCGTGGGGATTTGAACCGCCAACCTTCTGATCAGCAAGTCCTAGGCTCTGTGGTTTAACCCACAGCGCCACCCACCCGGAAGTACCGGAACGGGTTACTTCCAGGTTTGGCCAGTTGCGCATGCGCAGAAGCACTAAATCACACTTTGCACATGCGCAGAAACACCGAATTGCAAACCCGCGCATGCGCAGATGCGCTGCTGCGGATTGTGAATGCTGCAGGCTGTGAACGTGCATCCCGCACGGATCACGTTTGCAACCCGAGCATCCGCTGCTGGATTGTGGGAGAAAAATGACACCCTCAAAGCGGTTTACAGAACTAAACACCATACAAATCTTATTGAATTGATAAAAGGGTTGGGACGGTTTCTAGAGAAAGCTGGGCCAATGCCCAACCCCCGGGATGAGTGACAGCTTGCCTGCCAGGGTTATTGTTTTGTTTATGTATTTCGCCCCCCCCCATCTTGTATCTTTATGCCCCGAACTGCCCTGAGGTCTTTGGGCAAAGGGTGCGATGCCAATTCAATAAATATTAGTCGGCAATAATAAAGAGAGGGAGCCCTGTGGCGCCACCCAGTGGCAGGGTGGGGAGTTGGTGGGCGGGGGCTGCAGCTGCCCGCCTGGCCTTACATGTCATAGAGAGTGACCGTCCGAGAGCCGTTGTGGCAGTTGACGAGGCAGATGGCGCAGGGCATCTCCCCCTGGCTTTGCCTCACCAGGTGAGAGACGTCCACGTTGCAGCGGTGGAAGTCGGAGAGGATGAATCTTGGGGGCAGCGGAGGGAGAGAAAGAGGAGGTTAGAGGCTGTGGCCCAGGCAGGGGGGACCCCTCACCCTAAGCACCTTGCAGCGTGCAGGATGGTCCGGGTGCCCGTCGTGGAGTTGCTGATCACCATGGAGGTGGGCAGGGCACGCGCCGGGCGCGGCACCACGTGGGCAAGGTCCACCTCGTAGCGCTGGAAATCCTCACGGACGAAGCTGGGTGGGCAGAGAAGAGGAGCCCCCTTAGGGGTGGGGAGGGCGAGAGGGGCTGGAGACCCCCTTTCTCACCCCATCTGGCCACAGTGATCCATGTGACGGGCACCTCCAGGCTTGACTACTGTAATTCACTCTATGTGGGGCTGCCCTTGAAGCTGACCCAGAAACTCCAGCGGGTACAGAATGCCATGGCAAGACTCCTTACGGGGTCCTTGCTGTGGGATCACATTCACCCAGTGCTTTTCCAGCTGCACTGGCTCCCGGTGGAGTACAGGGTCAGATTTAAGGTGCTGCTTTTGACCTTTAAAGCCCTATGCAGCCTAAGACCCACGTACCTACGGGACCGCCTCTCCTGGTATGTCCCACGGAGGACCTTAAGGACTTTGGAGGTCCCAAGCTGCAAGGTGGTTAGGCTGGCCTCAACTAGGGCCAGGGCCTTTTCAGTACTGGCCCCGACTTGGTGGAACGCTCTGTCACAAGAGACTAGGGCCCTGCGGGACAGAGCTGTTCCGCCTGGCCTTTGGTTTGGACTCAGTATAAACCAATGTTCCCCTCCCCTCACAGTCTTGATTTGTCGGCTACTTTAAAATGAGACTGCATTTTAAATTGCATTTTAACCTGTATTTTAAATTGGCTCCCCCCCCCCCTTCTCTTTTATTGGTGTTAGGCGCCCTGAGCTGGGCTCTGGCCGGGGAGGGCGGGGTATAAATAAAATTTATGATGATTATGTATTATTAAGGACCCTACTCTCCCACTCCTTGGGAACAGGAGTTGGTGCCTAGACTTGCAGGGTCAGCAAACATTTTCAGCAGGGGGCCGGTCCACTGTCCCTCAGACCTTGTGGGAGACCGGACTATATTTTTTTTGGGGGGGGGGGAATGAACGAATTCCCATGCTCCACAAATAACCCAGAGATGCATTTTAAATAAAAGGACACATTCTACTCATGTAAAAACACGCTGATTCCCGGGCTGTCTGTGGGCCGGATTTCGAAGGCAATTGGGCCAGATCCAGCCTCCAGGCCTTAGTCTGCCTACCCATGATAGAGAGTGCTAGGAGCTGCAGGCGCCATTTGCCCATGAAGGTAAAGGTCAAGGGACCCCTGACCGTTAGGTCCAGTCGTGGCCGACTCTGGGGTTGCGGCGCTCATCTCGCTTTACTGGCTAAGGGAGCCGGCGTACAGCTTCCGGGTCATGTGGCCGGCATGACTAAGCCGCTTCTGGCGAACCAGAGCAGCGCATGGAAACGCCATTTACCCTCCCGCCAGAGTGGTACCTACTTATCTACTTGCACTTTGACGTGCTTTTGAACTGCTAGGTTGGCAGGAGCAGGGACCGAGCAACGGGAGCGCACCCCGTCACGGGGATTCGAACCGCTGACCTTCTGATCAGCAAGTCCTAGGCTCTGTGGTTTAACCCACAGCGCCACCTGTGTCCATGAAAGAGGGCCCCAAATCCACCCTGAGCCCTGAGTGCGAAATCTCTGCTTGGGGAGCAGAAGTGTCTCACAGGGAAGGTGGGAATTGGATTTCTGCAGGCACATGGGGGCAAAGCCTTTGTCTTTTTCATGAAGGGAGCATGAGCTTCACCTTCCATAAAAAATCTGGGTGCAAGCAGGCAGCGATTGAGGGAGTTCTCAAGATCTGCAAGACCCAAATACTTACATTCAGCTTCTCAACGCAAGAGGCGTTTGGGCTCGTGATTCTTAGGTGATGTTCCACCCCTGGAAAGCAGCTGCCCCTTGCTCTTTAATCCAGCTGTGTGGTGACTAAAGGAACTCTGCACATGCTCAGAAGGACCAGGGAAGGTGCGTGGGCCTGTATATTTCACATACCCAGAGCAGAGTCCCTTAATGGACCCTTTCTTAAATAAGACTGCCCTGCCACATCTCATAGAATCACAAAATGGTAGAGCTGGAAGGGACCCAAGGGGACATCTAGTCCAACCCCCTGGAATAGGATGAGGCCTCCTTCTCCCAGGCTGATTCTCTCCCCATTTTGCAGACTGGAGTCCTACCATTCAAACTGGTTCTCAGAGCTGAATTCAGCCGACTAACTTCTTAGGGAAATCCAGCCACTGCCTGGAAGAAAACTGGAGCCCTCTTGGGGTTTGTGCCTCTCCCTCACCCGCCCAGCACAGCACCAGGATCTGACCCTGCTCCTCAAAACCAGCAGTGGGGTCAGAAATCAGCAATGGGTTTTTTTCTGGCATTGATTCTGAATTGATTTTAGAATGTATTTCAATTAATTGATTGTGATTTTATGTCAATTGTGTTACTTTTACTGTTGTTAGCCACTCTGAGCCCGGCTTCGGCTGGGGAGGGCGGGATATAAATAAAATTATTATTATTATTATTTGAGAAACTTTCTGTCCCCCTGAATCTACAGAGATCTGATTCCGGCATGTACATCTGACACATGTTTCGTAAAGAAAACTCACAAGTATGTAGTGTTAATTTTACATACCGTAAAAAATCTCAGTACTATATAAGTATCTTAAAAGTACTTCTAATTGTCGAAAGTAGTCGAAATCGAAGGGGGTTTGGATGACTGTTGGGGCCCCTTCCACTCTACAATTCTTTGGTTCTAGGAAATGAAATTTGAGGCCAGGCGAGTGAAGGAAACAACTGAGGAAACAGACAGAGGCTCAGGCTGCCTTTTACTTGGGAGTAACCCTAATAACAGTGAGGTCGGTTAAGCTGGCTCAAGGTCACCCAGTGACCTTCATGCCTGACTGGGGATTCGAACCCTGCTCTCCAAGGTCACTGTTTGATACTCTAACCCAGCGGCTCTCAACCTGGGGGTCCCCAGATGTTGTTGGACTACAACTCCCATCATCTGAGCTCTGGCCTTGCTAGCTAGGGGTGATGGGAGTTGTAGTCCAACGACATCTGGGGACCCACAGGTGGAGAACCGCTGCTCTAACCACTACTCAACACTTGTAAGTCCTAGACATTGATACAGAATTGTCACACGCTGCCCTTATTGAATTTCACTGCCGTTTGACTCAGCAACGTATATTCTCCACTGTCATGGATGCAGAAATTCCTGCATTGCAGGGGGTTGGACTAGATGACTCTTGGGGTCCCTTCTTTGATTCCGCCCCTCTGCCCCAAAACCTGCCAGCTGCTGAGCCTTAAATGGCTCCACTTACTCGTTAAAGTAAGATTTGGCTATTTATTTGCCGTGCTACTTATTAATGTCAGAAGGCAATGTATTACTAAAAGTAGGGAAAGAGTCCTGGGAAAAAATCTAGGAGTGGAAATTCCCCAGCCCTCCTCTCCCCTCTTGGAAAGGGCGTCAGGGGTGAGGATGGGACCAGCACCCAAGTCCTGCCCATGCCAGAGCCACGTGCCAGGCTGGCTTCCACCCTGGGGTCCCTGACTTCCCTGGAGGAGGATGGATGGATCCTGCAAGACAAGGAGCCCATCACAGATGTGTGGCGCTGAAAGGGACCCAGCGGGTCATCTAGTCTGACCCCAGTCCAAAGGACACCCGGCTGCCTCCTTTGCCAAGGTGCTGGGCAAAGGGCTCATGACCTCGCCCACCCTCCCCTGAAGGAGACCCACAAGCCTTCCCCCCCCCCCACCGGGACACTTACTCTGCGGCGTGGCCAGGCGCCAGGGAGCCCATGAAGGCGCAGGGGGCGCCCAGCAGGGCCAGGACGGTGCAGGTGTTGGAAGCGTTGCCCCCGCGCTGCCATCGCTGCGACAGGCACCTGCCAGCCAGGGAGGGAGGAAGGAAGCAAGGAAGGAAGGCCGTTTGTCCCGGGTGCAGTGCAGCGGGCGGGACTAGATGACCCCCGGGGGTCCCTTCCAACTGGGCTCGAAGGAAGGGAGCCAAGCCGGCAGCTCAGCGGGGACAGGGAAGCCGCGCGCCCACCGCCCGCCCGCCACTGGCACCCGGCGCGTCCCCAGGCCGGGCGCCTGCCAGCTCCCGGGTGCCAAGGCAGAGCCAGCCGCCCGCCCGCGGGGAGCCTGGCATCTTTCCCCAGTGCCAGCTCGGCCCGAGACCATGAGTGCCCAGGGCGCTGGTGCCATGCAGCGTGCATGGCCCGGGCTCCTGCCTGCGGGATCCTGGGCAGACCCTCCGCCCGCCCGCGGGGAGCCTGGCATCTTTCCCCAGCCGGCGAGGGCGCACGAGTGCCAGCTCGCTCCGAGACCAGGAGTGCCCAGGGCAGTGGTGCCATGCAGCGTGCATGGCCCTGGCACCCAAAGTGGCGGGTGCCCGGCCCCTTCGTGGGGCATTTGGTGGGTGCCCGGGCACCTCTGCCAGGGGGTACCTGGTGTCCGAGTCCTCGGCCGGGTATCTCTCCACCACGCTGATGATGTCGAGGCACACCAGCCCCACGCACAGCACCCGCTTCTCGCCCATGGGCGCCGCTGCTGCCAGCCCGGCCCGCTGCTCCCAGGCTCCAGCGCAGGCAGGCAGCGCACTCGGCAGCCATTGGCCGGCCCGCGCCCCGCCCGCCTCCCGGGGCTCATGCAAATCGCCGCCTCCCTATTGGCCGGGCGGGGCAACGCCCCCTCACTCGCCAGCCCCGCCCCGGGATGTGGGGCCGCCAATCAGGAGGATGGGGGAGCAAAGATGTACATTGGGAACAAAGGAGGGGATTCCTGCGCCTGCAGAAGCGAGTTAGAGATGATCCAAATCTGGGAGAGCTGTGCACAGCCATGCACCAAATAATTGCACTGTTAAGACCATGTTCGCGGAAGACCATCTTACTTGGCTACGAGGGATCGCCAAAGGAAACACAAAACTGGATTTCCTGCTGCAGCGGATCTTCTGCAAATGCGATGGCCAGAAGCTGATCCCTCTGCTGCTTCTCTTTCCTCCCTAGGGGGAGCTCTCGACTTTCCCGCATCTCGGCACAGAGGCTTTTGCATGACCCCAGGGGACCTTGTTCCTATCCAAAGGGCGCAGGGAAGGCGCTCTCTCTCCCTTGCCAGCCTATCGCAGGGCCAGCAGCTCAGGCCAGTCACCAGCCAGCTGCCCGCCTCTGCTCTCTCTCTCTCTAGAGGAGGCGGAGAAAAAACAAGAGAAGGGGCTCCAAGGGTCATCTAGTCCTGGCCCTGGCAACAGGTACAACATAAGATCAACGTTGCATTTGTAAGAAATGGATCTTCTGATAGCGCAGCAACTGCGCTTGGGAACTCCCTGCCTGTTGACCTCAAGCAGGTGCCTTCACTGTTTCAGCACCTGCTAAAAACTTTTCTGTTTAGAAAAGTCTATCCACACATGTAGAAGTTACATGCAGAAGCCGCCCAGAGTGGCTGGGGCAAAGCAGACATATGGGCAGGGTACAGATATAATAATAATAATAATAATAATAATAATAATACGCGTGTTTTATCTTCTCGGTAGTGGTGCCCACCCTGTGGAATGCCCTCCCACCAGATGTTAAGGAGATGAGTAAGGATTCAGGTAGGTGGCCATGTTGGTCTGACGCAGTCAAAATAAATTAAAAAATTAAAAAATTGTCCGGTAGCACCTTAGAGACCAACTAAGTTTGTTCTGGGTATAATATTTTTATAACATTTAGGAAACATCTGCAGGCAGCCCTGTATAGGGAAGCTTTTTAAGGTTTAATGTTTTACTGTGTTTGTATATATGCTGGAAGTTGCCCAGAGTGGCAACCCAGTCAGATGGGCAGGGGACAAATAATAAACTATTATTATTATTATTATTACTACTATTATTTGATTTTAATAATATTTTGAATGGCTTTAAACACCTCTTTATGCTAATGCTTTTGTAAACCTCTTAAAGGTTTTAAGTGGTGTAGAAATTTAAATAAAATAAAAATAAATAAGGAATAAGTGTAATTTTTTTGGTCTTCTGGATCCTTCAAATTGTGCTTGAGGGCAAAAAGGAGCTTAGATCTGCTCCCAAAGTTGCATGCAAACAAGCAACTAGCAATTATTATTATTATTATTATTATTATTATTATTATTATTATTATCAACTTATTCAAACAACTAGCTATGCAGACAGACCCTGGCAATAAAAAGGGGTTGTTAATGTAAAGGAATGAGATCCCGTTTCTTGGAATTGGCAACTCAGAAAGGGTCAGGGCTGATGCTAAATCCCAAGACTTTCTGATGCTGGCAGCTCAAGAGGTCTCAGTGGAGAATGAGAGGGTGGCTGCCTACTTGACTTTGGCTCCCTGTCACCAGAAATTATGGCAAGGAGCAATTGCTGAAAAATTGACCCGCAAGATCCTCTCCTCCAAGAGAGCGGCGGCTAATTTAGATTTCTGCTCTGTGCGGCACGGCTGCATAACTTGCAGAAATGAAAAGGATGGCGATCAACACCTTTTAAAATGCTCTTCAACCGTGGAAGAAAAGCTCCTGTTCTGCAACTTCTTGTCTGTGGACACAGTGACTGTGTCAGCCTCTAGGCACACACCTGCTCCTCTCTGTTTTCAGTCCTTTAGTCGTGTCCGACTCTTCGTGACCCCCTGGACCAGAGCACACCAGGCACTTCTGTCTTCCACTGCCTCCCGCAGTTTGGTCAAACTCATGCTGGTAATAATAATAATAATAATAATAATAATAATAATAATTTATTATTTGTACCCCACCCATCTGGCTGGGTTTCCCCAGCCACTCTGGGCGGCTTCCATAGAAACCAAAAAACACTAAAATATCACACATTAAAAACTTCCCTGAACAGGGCTGCCTTAAGATGTCTTCTGAATGTCAGGTAGTTGTTTATCGTTTTGACATCTGATGGGAGGGTGTTCCACAGGGCGGGTGCCACTACCAAGAAGGCCCTCTGCCTGGTTCCCTGTAACCTCTTTTCCCGCAATGAGGGAACCGCCAGAAGGCCCTCGGCGCTGGACCTCAGCGTCCGGGCAGAACGATGGGGGTGGAGACGCTCCTTCAGGTATACTGGACCGAGGCCGTTTAGGGCTTTAAAGATCAAACACCAGCACTTTGAATTGTGCTCGGAAACGTACTGGGAGCCAATGTAGGTCTTTCAAGACCGGTGTTATGTGGTCTCGGCGGCCGCCCCCAGTCACCAGTCTAGCTGCCGCATTCTGGATTAGCTGTAGTTTCGAGTCACCTTCAAAGGTAGCTCCACGTAGAGCGCATTGCAGTAGTCCAAGCGGGAGATAACTAGAGCATGCACCACTCTGGTGAGACAGTCCGTGGGCAGGTAGGGTCTCAGCCTGAGTACCAGGTGGAGTTGGTAGACAGCTGCCCTGGATACAGAATTAACCTGCGCCTCCATGGACAGCTGTGAGTCCAAAATGACTCCCGGGCTACGCACCTGGTCCTTCAGGGGCACAGTTACCCCATTCAGGACCAGGGAGTCCTCCACACCAGCCCGCCCCCTGTCCCCCAAAAACAGTACTTGTGTCTTGTCAGGATTCAACTTCAAACCCATTAGCCGCCATCCATCTCCAACCGCCTCCAGGCACTCACACAGGACCTTCACCGCCTTCACTGGCTCTGATTTGAAAGAGAAGTAGAGCTGGGTATCATCTGCATATTGATGGACACCCAGTCCAAACCCCCTGATGATCTCTCCCAGCGGCTTCATATAGATGTTAAAAAGCATGGGGGAGAGGATGGAACCCTGAGGCACCCCACAAGTGAGAGCCCAGGGGTCTGAACACTCACCCCCCACCACCACTTTCTGAACACGGCCCAGGAGGAAGGAGCGAAACCACTGTATAACAGTGCCCCCAGTTCCCAGCCCCTCTAGACGGTCCAGAAGGATGTTATGGTTGATGGTGTCAAAGGCCGCTGAGAGATCCAGCAGAACTAGGAAACAGCTCTCACCTTTGTCCCTAGCCCGCCGGAGATCATCGACCAGCGCGACCAAGGCAGTTTCAGTCCCGTGATGAGGCCTGAATCCTGACTGGAAGGGATCCAAATGGTCCGCATCCTCCAGGCGTGCCTGGAGTTGTTCAGCAACCACACACTCAATCACCTTGCCCAAGAATGGAAGATTTGAGACTGGGCGATAGTTGGCCATACTGGCCGGGTCTAAAGATGGTTTTTTAAGAAGCGGTTTAATGACCGCCTCTTTCAGCAGATCTGGGAATGTGCCCTCACAGAGGGAAGCATTCACCACCCCGGCAGAGCCCATCGCCCAGCCCTTCCCGGCTTGCTTTTATTAGCCAGGATGGGCAAGGATCAAGGAGACAGGTGGTTTGGTTTCACGCGTCCAAGCAGCCTGTCCACATCCTCGGGGTAACGGATTGAAATTGATTCCATACAACTTGACCAGACAGAGCTCTAGCACTCTCCCGCCCCAGCCCTGCTCCCACGGTGGTGTCTAGCTCCTTCTGAATATGAGTGATTTTATCTGCAAAAAACTTTGCAAAATCGTTGCAGGAGATCTTGGGGTCTTTACAAGGCCCTGGTGGTAAAGGTGGTTCCGTTAAATTGCGGACCACCTGAAAGAGTCTCCTGCTACTATTTTCTGCAGATGCAACAGTCTTGGAGCCTCAGCTTCAGGATCTGTCCTTCCAGTGAGCACTCAGGGCTGATTTCCTTCCAAATGGAGAAGTTTGATCTTCTTGCAGTCCATGGGACTCTCCAGAGTCTCCTCCAGCACCAGAATTCAAAAGCATCCATTCTTCGGCGACCAGCCTTCTTGATGGTCCAGCTCTCACTCCCATACATCACGACTGGGAAAACCATAGCTTTAACTATACAGAGTTTTAGTTACTCAACAATAAAAATGTAAGCACACCTCACACCTCCCCTCCCCCCCATCATTCCAGAACTGCCTCCCAAGATGCCCAAAATCCGAGGGGGAAAAGCAAGCCCCATGGAAATGAACTGGATATGCAGGCGAGCCTAAAGACCAGAGTTTTGTTCAGGTAGGAAAGCTCACCAGACATTGCTTTTTTTATTTTTTACTTTTACACTTTTATTAGTTTTCACTTAGCTTGAGAGCTTCTCTAAAGATTATATAAAATGAAGTATCCAATACAATTCTCATTTTTAGAAACTATTAGAAATACTAGTTAAATTTCAACTATAAAACTTTATTACATACAAAACGTTCAACCATTATTATATTGAAAGTTTGTTATCACAAAGTCCAGCTCATGTACAAAACCAAAACAAAAAGGAGCAAAACAGTTTTGCACCATCAAATCAGCCGTGAGCTGTTAATTAAGTCTTCATTCCTTGAGCATCCTTGGTCAAAAGCTCAAGTCCGGTTATCTGAAACTGGAAACACTTTGCATATTCAAGTAACCCTGCGCATCTAGTGCAATTGCACAAAAGTCATACATAATAGTCCATTGGCTACTTCTTAAAGGGGGGAAATTGGCGTTAAACTCACCCGACATTGCTGTGTGCCGTCTCTGCGTGTGCTGAGAGACAGGCCCATGGGCATCTCGGTTGGGCATAGACATCTCTGTGCCTGATCCAGAAAACTCAGGTGCCTCCCTCCCTTTGAGGAAGGGAGCAGAGAAACAGAGAATCCTAAATCTGAAGGGTCCTGTAGTCCGACCCACTGA